TTTCTCTTTGTAACACTTGTTCCGGTTGCAATTACTGGTATCTCTCCCCACCTCCCATTGGAACTCTCACAATCAGAACTCAGGGCCAAAAAGATCCTGGCCACAAGGAAAAAGCAGCAGATACACCTGGAAAGAATTAAGTTTAGGCTTCGGGTTCCTGTGGTAGGTTGGATTACAGTTCCTCAACCTACAGAGGTCTGTGTCCTGATCCCCAGAATCCATGAGCATGTTGCCTTGCATGGTAAAGGGATCTTTGCAGATATGATTAAGTTAAAGATCATGAGAAGAAGAGATGATTCTGGATCCTCCAAGTGAGCAAAAGGGTCCTTGTAAGGAAGCAGGAGAGTCACGGTTAGGAAAATGCAAGGATAGAAGCAGAGGTCAGAGAGGAGAAAGGATGCTAGGTGACTGGCTTTGACCATGGAGGAAGGGGCCATGAGCCAGGAATGTAGGAGGCCTTGAGGCTGAAGAAGGTGAGGAAACAGTCTCCAGAGAGATTCCAGAAGGACCGCAGCACTGCCTGCACTTTGATTTTTAGCTCAGTCAAACCGATTCTGGACTTCTGACCTCTTGAGCTGTAAGATAATTAGCATTGCTTGAAAGTCACTAAATTTATGGTAACTGGTTAACAGTAATCACAGGAAGCTAATATACAGCCCTCCCTTGTACAGAACCCTTCTGAGGCCCTGGGAGACCATCTGGAAATGTGTTCAGATGGCCATATGTTTTTGTAAAGCTTGCAAAATTAAAATATCTGAACTACAATTGCTTAAGACTACTGTCTCTTTCCACTCAGACTTCCTAAGGTGTTTTTCTCCTGGCTGACCAGCATTGGAATAATTGCAGGCATTTTTTGGGATCCAGCTAAGCAGGAATGCAGTTGGGATACTCTGGTTTGCATTTAGTGGGATATGCTCTTGTGGATCGTGGTCACGTCCATGCAGCATCGAGTTATTGCTGGAGCATAGGAATGGCCTCCTTGAACACTTCTAATGCCCATTGTGTCAAAAACTCCCCAGGTGTGGTGATGTGTAGGAGTCATAGAATACGTGCAATATGCCATACATTGTCTTAATCTCATCAGAGAAAAAAAGCTATCCTCGAAGTCTAGGTTTTTTTTCAGATTGAACAAAAGCAGCAACTCATGATGAGGAAGAGATAAATTTGAATAGAAGTAATGAATAGGCTCTCAGATTCCTCGATAAGCTAACTGATGAAGAGAAATGAATTGAATGAACATATTGGGAAAAGATGTCAGTGAAGATATTATAAACTCAAAACATGACCACAAGGAGAACATTAATGATAAAGTGATTAATAAGCATCATCAATTCAAAGAGTAATATTTGGCTGGGTGCGGTGACTCACACCTGATTCCAGCACTTTGGGAGGCCAAGGTAGAGGATTGCTTGAGCCCAGAAATTCAAGACCAGTCTAGGCAACGTAGTGAGACCTCATTTCCACAAAAAAATCAAAAAATAAAATAATTAGCCAGGCACACACCTGTAGTTTCAGCTACTCAGGAGGCTGAGGCAGAAGGATTGCCTGGGCCCAGGAGGTCGTGGCTGCAGTGAGCCATGATCATGCCACTGCACTCCAGCCTGGGCAACAGAATGAGACCCCCCCAACTCAGAAAACAAACAAACAAATAAATCTAGAGTAATATTTATGATTAGTCGCTGCACAAGAAAATGTGAAATGCTCTGAGATCTTGTAATTCTTTTTATTTATTTATTTTTGAAAGTAGGATTTATTGAGAAGACAGAAAAGCTTCCACAGTGGGAGAGGACTCGAGGAGGTTGCCTGTATGATTCTTATATGAAAGAAATTTAATAGAGATTTCTTCAGATTTTACAGAAATCCTAGACATTTACATGATAGTACCAAGAACAAACTATTAGACTGAGAAGATGGTCCTTGAGTGGATGGACATGAGACATCCTCCAGGGTGGCCTGGTTGGGTAAGTGGTGCTAGAATTCAGAGGACTGTCACTGTGCAGCGAGAGTCTCCTTGGCAAACTAAAAAAGGAAGTTAGTTTTTCATGAAAGAATGCTTCTAGTCAATGAACTTCCCGCCCCATCTTTAGTTAGTGTTGGCTGCACACATGTTGTAATAAGTCAAGGATCCTACAAAGTAGGATGTAAATATTCAAACTGTTTTTTAAAAAGATAACTCAGGGTCACATTTTAGAATTAGAGCAGTCAGCCATTACTTGCTATTACTAACAGGTCAACTTTGCTATTACTGATACAATTTGGGTTCTATAGAAGATCTGCCTAGCAGCCAGCAACTATTAATTGATGATTTGTTTTTTATTTTTTAAGAAAGAGGATCTTAGGGTCTTGTTCTGTGGCCCACGTGTGAGCAATGCAGTGAAGTGATCACAGCTCACTACCGCCCCGAACTCCTGGGCTCAAGGGATCCTCCTGCCTTGAGTCACTGTGCCAGGCTGATGCTTATGGCATCTAGTAAAACTGTCCTTGCCTGCGAAGCTCCCTCTAGTGGAGGGGTAGGATGTGCATTTAGAAAAGAACATGAAAAGTGAAAGATGCTCGTGGACTCAGGTAAGCCTTTCTAGGCCGCCTTTGTCTTCCGAAGTCACAGCTTGGCTACTCTCCCTAATGGAGCGCAGGCTCATCGTGAGTCTCCGACTCCGAGCCGGCCGAGCCGCCGTGCGCTCCGCCCACCGGCAGGGGGCGCGCCGACCGCCGCGACGCCAGGCCGCTCTGGCCCGGCGGAGGCTCCGCCTACGATTGTGGCTGGCCCCGCCCCTCCTCCTGTCGACGCTGCCGCCGGGAAGGTGTCGCCGCTGCTCTTCCGAGCTGCAGGTACCTGGGCCTGGGCCGGTGGACAGTACCTGGCGAGAGCCACTTGAGACCTCCCCTGCCGGCCCCGAAGGACCGGAGGGCGCCTGGGCCTGCCGAAGGCCCTGAGGGGCGAGGGCGGCCGGAGGGAGCCGGGCCGAGGAGGCGGTTGCGGGTCCGAGGTGGCCTCCTCGGGGGTTGTGGGTTCCGAGGGCCGAGAAAGGCCCGCGAAGGTCCCTGCTTGCTTTGGCGGGTTGAAACTGCGTTGCAGCCGGAGGGTGCCGGCCTGGGTCAGCGGGCCGCGGCCTGGTCGAGCGGGTGCGCGGTTAATCGGGAGGCGGCGCGGAAGCCCCGGCTCGCTATAAGGCGGGGGCGAGCCGAGCGCTTCTGCGGCATCAGCACCCAGTACAGGCAGATGACAGGGCGCCCGCGGCCCCGAATGGCACATGGCCTCGGTGCCCGGGTTACCAGGAGGATTTCGGTCGTGCTCGGTGGCTCACGCCTGGAAGCCTAGCACTTTGGGAGGCCGAGGCGGGAGGATCGCTTGAGGCCAGGAGTTTGAAACCAGCCTGGACAGCACAGTGAGCCCTCTTCTCTATTTAAGAAAATTATGTGGGCCGGGCTTGTGGTTCAGCCTGTAATCCCAGCACTTTGTGAGGCCGAGGCGAGTGGATTCCCTGAGCCCGAAGGTTCGAGACCAGCCCGAGCAACTTGGCGAGCCCTCGTCTCTATAATAAATCAAAAATTAGCTGGGGGTAGTGCGTGCCCGTAGTTCCGGCTTCTTGGAAGACTGAGGCGGAAGAATCGCCGGAGCCTAGCGGGTCCAGGCTGCGGTGACCCGGAGCTTGCCACTGAACTCCAGTCTGTGCGACAGAGTGAGACTCCAACTCAGAAAAAAAATTATATGTATGTATATATGTTTATGTACATAATTTTAAAAATAAAAACCAGATTTGCACACTTTCCACTTAAGGGCTCAGTTAATCACACACTTCCGCTCTTAATTGACATGCAGTGCCAAGAAGCAGATCATTCTCTCTCCAGATTTTTCAACATTGCTGTGCCTTGGGAAAACAACACATATTTATTTTTTTTTTTAACTTTCCATGGTGTTCAGAATTGGCTGCAGGACATAATGAGGTAAAAATATACCACTGAATTGTAACACTTCTCACTCTTGAAAAAAGATAACAGTGGTACCTAGAAGCGTCTTATTTTAAAGAGCTATAATATCCATTGTGGGTGCTCTTTTTATGGTATAGTAATAGCTATCTTCAGAGCTTACTATATGTCAGACATCGTGCCAAGTGCTTTAAATCATGCCTAGTACCGTCCTGCTTGCAGCACCCCTATCAGGTATCATTTCTATTATGTAGAGAAGGAAACAGGCACAGAGAGTCTATTAACTTGTTTAAGGTAGAGGGTGAGAGGGATTTGAGCCTCATCACCTTTATTCCAGTATCCCTGCTTCTGTTGTTTAGCCGGACATGCACTGTTCTGTGAGGTTGCTGTTTGCTTGCTTATTCATGTGACTTGTGGCTTGAACACATTTCTCTTAGGCTTAATTTTTATGGCTATATCCAAGAGTCCTATATTGACTCCTTTTAGTTTAATACGAAAAATGTTTTCTCATTTTTTTTTTGAATCGGAGTCTCTGTCACCCAGGCTGGAGTGCAGTGGCACATTCACAGCCACCCCAGCATTGACCTGCCAGGCTTAGGTGATCCTTCTGCCTCAGTCTTCCAAGTAGCTGGAACTACAGGTGCACGCTGCCACGCCTGGCTTATTTTTTGATTTATTGTAGAGACAAGGTCTCACCAAGTTGCCCAGGCTGGTCTCAAACCCCTGGGCTCAGGCAGCCCTCTTGTCTCAGTCTCACAAAGTGCTGGGATTATAGGTTTGCTCATTAAGGGTTATGGTATGAACAAAGTTAAGCTTGGACTGGGGTCCTCACTGCTCCAGTTCAGTTTGATTTGAAATGGAGGGGGGTTTGTTTGGTTGTTAACATGCTTTATTATGTTTCTTTGTTATTTGTGTTTCCGTACTGTTTTTGGTGAGTCAACTTTGTGTCACTAGTGTTATGATAGCCATACTGAGGGAGATCAAAGATTTATCAGTGACAGTAAGTTAATATTTTACAGGATGTAGGAAAGGCATTGGAGAAAGGCAGGGAAGAGATTTGGGGCATGTTATTTCGAGCAAATGGTGTTACTTACTGTGAAGATGGAGGATCCTCAGTTCCCATCACTGTCAGGAGGGAATGGTGAAGAATTTGCATATTCAGCATTCATCTAGCCAGTGGACACTGAGTGCCTTCCAGGGCAGGCCCTGTATGAAGCACCGGGGTGTGCAAGTGAAGAAAATAAAGCCCTTGTCTTCCTGGAGCCAACACTCTCTACTGGAGGAAGGTAGGGTGAGGACAGTAAACAAAATTTTTTAAATTAAAACGTCTCTAGTTAGATGGTGACAGTTACTAAGAAGAAAAGTAAAGCTGCATGGGGTGGAGGTGGGGCAGGAAGCACTGGGTGGGAAGCAGATGCAGTTTTCAGAGGAGGACCAGGGCCTTGGAGAGGGCTCCTGGGCAAGACTGCAGGAGGGTGGGACAGCCTGGGGAAGAGAGCAGAAGCCCAGCACCAGCCTTTTTGTTGGGGGACCCACAAGGAGGACAGTGGCTTGAGCGGAGGGAAGGTAGGAGGGAGGTGGTCAGAGAGCTAGCAGTCCCTGGTGAAGACGTGGGCTTTTACTCTGAGAGGGGAGGGAGGTGGTTGGAGGGTTCTGAGCAAAGGAGCGAGGGGTCTGACTTCAGGTTTTGAAAGGCTTATGCTGGCAACTGTGTTCAGTTGACCGGAATGGCGAGGACGGAAGCAGGGAGACCAGTTAGGAGACTGGTGCCTGGTCCAAGGGAGCGGTGATGGGGGTTGGTCATAGTGGGTGGAGTCGCGGTGGTGTTGCAAGCATCGCTGCCGCTGACGGGACTTGCTAGTGGATTGGATGGGGAGTGTGCAAGTTAGCGTGGCACATGACCCATGACCTTGCCCTGACTATTAGAAGGTAGAAGGTCCAGTTTACGCAGATGGAGAAGACTGGGGAGGAGGGTGAGCTAGTTTTTGAACTGCCTGTTCTGGAAGGGTTACAGAGCCTGGAGTTCATGGGAAAGTCTGACTGGAAATAGAAACTTGGGAGTCACTGGCAGAAGCATGAGACTTCAGACACCCTTTCAGTACCATGAGCCCCAGGGCACTGCATGTCTGTCCTGCACTCTTTCAGCTTTGCAAAAGTCTGAGGCAGTGAGACTTTCTGCTTTTGGAGAGATTTAGAGCTGTAAAGGAGACTGAGCAGGAGAAGCTTCTGAAGGTAGGAGGCAAAGGAGGTGAGTATGGGCTGCTGAAGTCAACAGTATTTCAAGGAGAAAGTGGCCAACTTTATCCTCCTGCAGATTTGACGAGTCCGAGGAAATCTGGAAGGTGGCGGTTGGATTTGGTAACAGGAAGGTCATTGGTGATTTTCAAGAACACTTGAGAGTAGCAAGGGAGAAAATCTGATCGGTGTGGTTTTTAGAGAGCAGGAGAAGAGGAATTGGAGACTGCAGGTATGGACAGCTCTTTGGAAGAGGTTAGCTGTAAATTTTTCATATGTTAATTGTTTGAAAACACTGTGTTCATTCCCAAATAATATTTATTTCTAACTTAAGCTACTTATCCGATAGACCTGGATTGTTTTATCACTGACTGGTGGAAATAAATTAGCTATACTACTGCTAATAATAATATATAATTAACTTTCAAAGCCAGTTCACAATGAAGCTTGCCTTTTTTACATAGCACATTTGAGGGCCCATAAAAATGCTTCATGTGGAATATGTTCCTTTGCCACTTACCTTTTGTCCTTACTTTAGGTTAAAAACATTACTTGGAGGTGCTACAAACTTGTTTTTAAAGACAAAACATGCACAAAAATTGAGAACCAGGATTTATTTTGAAGTGTGCTGGTCTCAGTATAAGAACTGAAGATGCTGGTATACCTCATTTCTGTTATAAGAATTAATTAGTAACAAAATAAAACCATACTTGCCTATTGTTACTTAAAAATATTGACTGATACTTCATTGAAAGTAAATAATATGGGTTAAATAAAGCATGGTGATTTTAAAAGGCAGTAAATATATAAAAAGTGAAATTTTTATCTCGAGACATCAGTTTAGGTTCTTGTTTCTACCCTTAGCAAGTTAGTGTCCAAACCCAAATACAGAATATCAGAGTATACAGATTTATACCATCCTGACTGTAGATAACATGTGCTTTTTTCCTTGTCAAATACATCCATCTGTTGCACAATATTTAAAATGATTAAGTAAAATATTTCAGTTTAGGGTTATAGCTACTGATTTTTTGAATTTTATCTGGAAGATTATAAGTCCTTCAGTCTATAGATTGAAATCTTTCTTTAGCTGAGGAACATATTTATTTAAAGTTTGTGCCTTTTGTTCTTTTTTTTTTTCTGTAGGAATTTTTCATGGTTTGGATCTACTGCCTAATTCTCATAGATATCATCTCATACATCCTTCCTAACTTTTTTTTTCTTCTTAAGTTAGGCATTTCCATTGCTGATTTCCTTTCTGCTTACTGTTTGGATTTTTAATTTCTGTTGTGTTTTTATTTAACTTCCAGTTTTTTTAAAAGTCCCTCTCTGCTCTTATTAATATTTTTCCTCACACCTCATCAACAAGGGTGCCTGCATAACAAACATTTGTATACCTAACCCTGAATTGTATACCACATCTTTAAAATAAAAAAATTTAAAAAAATATATATATTTTTCTTCACTCTGATTCTTAATTTCTTGTATATCCTGAGAGCACAGTATTTTTCTGGATTTCTTTTTCAATTTCTTATTATAAATAATTTCCAGCAGTGTGCTTTTCCCTATGAAGCACTAATACACTTTTTTTTCTTATGGTGTAGAATTTTTTTTTTTTTTTTTTTGAGTTGGAGTCTCACTCTGTCACCCAAACTGGAGTGCAGCGGCCGCTCCCGGCCACCGCAGCCTCGACCTGCTGAGCTCCGGCGATCCTTCCACCTCAGCCTTCCAAGTAACTAGAACTACAGGCGTGCACTACCACGCCCGGCTAATTTTTTGAAATATTGGAGATAAGGTCTCACCAAGTTGCCCAGGCAGGTCTCGAACCCGCGGGCTCAGGCAATCCACTCACCTCAGCCTCCCAAGGCACGGGATTACAGGCTGAGCCACCGAGCCCGGCTGTAGAATTTTTTCATTGACTTCATGTTGACTTTGTTTTCATCCTTTAAAAAATGAAAGGACTGTTGAGACTGTTACTGTAATACTGAATTTTTCATACCAGTACCATTCTACTAAAGATTTTTTTGTAGATTTCTTATACAGAAAATAACTGGAAAATTGAATTTTGTGTAAGCATTTCATAAACTCTATTGTGGTAGTTGTAAAAGATTTACCTATTTTGAATTATATTCAGTGTTACTAGAACTTAAATTTATGGTTATGTCTTTGTGATAAGTGCCTTTTTTCCCCAAGCTGGCAAGCAGACATAAGTTAACAACTTAAACTTTATATCTGAAACAAAATCAATCACAAAGGAAAAGCTATTTTTCCAAATTAAGTAGATTATATTCTTTTTTTAGTGCTGTTCAGCTTTTCTTTCTTTTTTTTTAAGATATGCCTAAGTTTCTATATTTGTTCAGCTTTTCTGAAGCTTATCTTTGTTCACTAGGATTGTTAGCACTTCCTCCAAGTCAGCGTTTAGAAGTAAAACATGTTTAATAAACAGGAGATATACATTCATTTGATTAAAAAATAACAGTTTTGAGGTCAGGCACTGTGGCTCATGTATTGCTTGAGCTCAGGATTTCCAGACCAGCCTAGGCAACAGGGAGACCTTGTCTCTCCAAAAAAAAAAAAAAAACTGGGCATGGTGGCGCACACTTGTACACTTGTAGTGCCAGCTACATGAGAGGCTGAGGTAGAAGGATCACCTGAGCCCAGGAGGTTGAGGCTGCAGTGAGCCATGATTGTGCCACTGCACTCCAGCTTGGGCGACAGAGTGAGACCTCATCTCCAAAAAAAAAAGGGTAGCAAAGCACCTCCAGATATTCATGTTTAAGGATAGGATGACTTAGATTAGTAAACACAAATTTCAGAGAGTTTCTGTGATATATGACAAAGTAATCCTTAACATTCAGATGGAATTGAAAATGACAAATGATAAGATGCTTTTGAAGATCAAGGCTGAGAGACTTGCACAAAATATTAAGAACTATTATAAAACCAAAGTAATGATGACAGTATATATTAGAGGCAGCTGTGTATCCCATAGACTATAGGAACAGAATAGAGAGCCAAAACAAACATATATAAACAGATATGTGTTAAATGTAAGAACTACATTGTTCAGTGTAGTAGCCATGACCACATATGCCTGTTTATATTTAAAATGTAGGGTGCCTAACAGTAACTGCAGTACTGGTTCTCAGCATTCTTATGTTCTAGTATTTAGTGCTGTTTTCAGTGATTTTTGATAATATATCTTTGTGAGAGTTTGGTGTTTTTAAAATAAAAACTCACCGGGCTCAGTGGCTCAGCCTGTAATCCCGCGCCTTTGGGAGACTGAGGTGAGTGGATTGCCTGAGCCCGCGGGTTCGAGACCCACCTGGGCAACTTGGCGAGACCTCATCTCTACAATAAATTGAAATGAGCCAGGCGTGGTAGCGCACGCCAATAGTTCCAGCTACTCGGAAGGCTGAGGTGGAAGGAACGCCGGAGCCCAGCAAGTCGAGGCTGCGGTGCCTGGGAGCGGCCTCTGCACTCTAGTCTGGGTAACAGAGTGAGACTCCGACTCAAAAAGTAAATAAATAAATAAATAAAATAAAATAAAATAAAAACTCTATTATATACTGGGACATGGGCAGAGAATTATACATTTCATTATAATTTCTAATTGGCATATATGTTCTTAAAAAGTATTCTTCTGCATTTCCATAATTTAAGAGAAGGAAAAAAATTGTCAAAGCAGATCTTCTATTATAAAAATAATTCTAAATATTTCAGAGAATTTTTGAATAAGCTAAGTTTGAAAGTGACAGTATTGAAACCAGTTCAGGTAGCCCTGATGAAATTAAGAGATGACAAATTAGAAAAATTTTTTGAAACAAAAGCTAAAGCTCATTATCAGTAACAAAATTGGATTTTCTCCAAAACTAAAGAAGTAATTAAAAAATGAGAGAACATTTGACGATGTAAGGATCAGAAGACAGGGAATTATAGTACCATATGTTGCTTCTAGTTAATAGAGAGAGATTTTCTAATGGCTGGAAAAATGTGTAAAAAATACATTCACAAAAGTAAAAAAAAAAAAAGTATACTTGATATGCTAAGAAAGGAGAGAAAATAGAATTTATGAAATGCACAACTAAAATCACAAAAGGCAGAAAAAGAAGACAAAATAAGAACAAGAAAAATGAATAGAAAAGAACAAATATAATAGGTATTAACCCACCTATATCAATAACCATTTTAAATGTCGTAGTCTACACACACGAAATAAAAGACAGAGATTATCAGAGTAGATCAAAAAACAAGACCCAACTATATATATGTTGGGGTCTACAAGAAAGCCACTTTAAAGCTAATGACACACATAGATTAAAAGCAAATGGATTGAGAAAAATATACCATGCCAACTTAATGTTTTTAAAAGCAGGAGTAGCTATATATTAATTTCAGACAGAACAGACTTCAGAGCAAAGAAAGATATCAGTAATAAAGAGGGGCATTGCATAATAATAAAGGGGTTGATTCTTCAAGAAGACATAACACTCTTTAATGTGTATGCACCTAAACAGAGTGTTAAACCATGTGAGGAGAAAACTGATATGACTGCAAGAAAAAATAAAGGAATCCACTATTCTAGTTGGAAACTTCAAAACCTCTGTATTAGAAATGGAAAGATCCAGCAGGTAGAAAATCAGCAATAACATAATTGAACTCAATACCATAAATCAACTGGATATTATCAACATCTATAGACTACTTCATCTAGAACAGCAGAGTGTATATACTTCCCAAGCTTACACTGAAACATCACCAAGATAGACCATGTACATAGGAATAAAACATACCTTAACAAATTTAGAAGAATAGAAATTATACAGTTTCTGATCTCAGACCACAAAGGAATTAAATTCAAAATCAATAACAGATAGAGTCTACGAAATCCTCCAAATACTTGGAGGTTAAACAACACACTTCTACATAATTCACTGGTCAAAGAAAAAAATCTCTAGATAAATTAATAAATTTTTTTTTGATAGAGGTCATTTTATTCTAAATTTCTAAATG